CTCTCCTGCCCCCTCCCAACCCCACAGGGCCCGGTGCTGGCATTGCTGCCAGGACCCACGGCCGCTTCTCTCGTGCTTGAAGCAGTGAGTGGGTGGGTGAAGCTTATTAGACTCAGGGGGAAAAAAATATTTCTTGATGAGTTCAAATGAACAGAAATCAGTTTTGTTTTAATGAATCTCAGTTCTCCTTAACCAGCGGTTCTCAACCTGTGGGTCGCGACCCCTTTGGCAGTCGAACGACCCTTTCACAGGGGTCGCCTAAGACCATCCTGCAGATCAGATATTTACATGACGATTCATAACAGTAGCAACATGACAGTGATGAAGTAGCAACGAAGATAATTTTATGGTTGGGTCACAACATGAGGAAGGTTGAGAACCGCTGCCTTAACCCCTACTGCCTGGTGTGTTTGGAGTGGAATACGTGGATCCTTTACTCGCTCGCGGTTGAAATGTGTCTCCCCTCAGGAGGCCTTCCTGGAGGATTTGAACAGCATCGTCAGTTTGGGGGAAGTCCCTGACATATTCGAAAAGGAGGAGCTGGACTCGCTCGCCCTGAGGATCAGGTCTCTGGCCGAAAAGACGGGCTACGTTGACAACAGGCAGGCTGTCCTGTCCTTCTTCCAGAAGGTACCGCTGCGCGCGCCGGCTTTCCCAGCGCCGTGGTGAGGTGGGCGCAGACCGCGTTCGTCGTTCCTGTGTGTGATGTTCAAGTGGGGGACTTTCTTGAGTTCTTTCAGTGAGTTTTCAAAGCTGAAGTGACTGCCATCCCTCCACACGGGCACACAGGGCTCTTTGGCCTGGGCCTCGCTGTCATTGGCTGGAAAAATAACAGCTGGTGGTAATGACAGATGAGATCCCATGATGATTTCTTTTTGTTCCTTTTTTTTTTTTTGAGAGAGAGAGAGAGAGAGAGAGAGAGATTGGTTGCCTCCCGCACATGCACTGACCAGGGGCAGGGAGTGAACCTGCGACCCAGGTACAATCCCTTCACTGGACTTGAACCTGCAGCCCTCCGATGCGCAGGCAGGCGCTCTAACCATTGGGCGCACTGGCCAGGGCCCCACTGTGATTTCTTACGCTGAGATTCCTTCCCAGCCGAGGAGGCTTGCATCTCGGTCATGTTGGCAACAAGTGTGGACAGGCAAGAAACAGGAATGTTTTCATCTCTTTGAAAGAAGCCTAACATTGGCCAGGAGGCCGTGGGCACGGCAGGAAGCTGGCCAGGAAAAGCAGGTGGTGGTCAGCAGGAACTCGGCAGGGGGGTGGCCGGGAAAGGACCAGTTTGAAGCGAGGTGTGACCAGCGACCTCGGCTTTCTGACCGATGGCTTGGTGAACAGGTCGACGTGGCTGCCCAAACCCAAGTGTCCGCTGGGGAAGCCACACAGGTCAGCTTATTTTTTTGAAGCGAGGTGTGACCAGCGACCTTGGCTTTCTGACCGATGGCTGGTGACTGACCGGTGGCTTGGTGAACAGGTCGACGTGGCTGCCCAAACCCCAAAGTGTCCGCTGGGGAAGCCACACAGGTCAGCTTATTTCTGGTGCCCGTTCTACCTCTCATGGAGTCATTTCAAAACTGAACTGGGCAACCCTCCATTCCTCACCGGGTACTTTGTGATCGGTCACAAGAAGAAGACGTAAAAGATTCCAGAAGCAGCATCCACCATTGAGAGAGAACGTCGTCGTCTGAATGGCTGCTTGGATTGAGTTGTGGATTTATTGTTTTGTTTTGTTTTGTTTTGTTTTAAATATGTTTTTATTGATTTCAGAGAGGAAGGGAGAGGGAGAGAGAGAAATAGAAACATCAGTGATGAGAGAGAATCATGGATCGGCTGCCTCCTGCACACCCCACACTGGGGATCAAGCCCACAACCAGGGCATGTGCCCTTGACCCCGAATTGAACCCTGACCCCCTGGTTCTTTCTCATCATTGATGTTTCTATCTCTCCCTCCCTCTCCCTTCCTCTCTGAAATCAATAAAAACATTTTTAAAAAACACACACACACAGAAGAGCTCTATGGGAATTGCCATTTCCTTTGGGAGGGCGCTGGTCGTGGCAGGCACTCCGCGCACAGTGGGTCTGGCACTCCGTGCACAGTGGGTCAGTCTCGACTCACTAAGAAAAGAATTGACACGAGTTTTAAGTGGCATGTTCAATGTGATATATTTTTTCAAAGCCATGGATTACATTTTAACAGCTTATATTTCCATTATGTTTCAGAGAATACGTAAAAATTTGCATATTTTTATGATCGTGAGTCCCACAGGACCTAACTTCCGCCAAAACTGCCGCGTATATGCCTCTATGATTAGCTCCTGCACGATCGACTGGTACGAGAGGTGGCCGGAAGAGGCGCTCCTGGTTGTAGCCAACTCTTTCTTGAGAAAAAATGTGGATTTAGAGAACAGAGAGGTAAATACAACTTCTTTTTTTTAAAAAAAAAAAAACTATACAAGGGAAGGTTTCCATTTATTAACAGGATCTGACAGTATCATATTTCTGAACAGCTCTGAACCCCAGGCGGATGGAAATGGGCAGCTCTCGGAAAAATTAGAAAACAAGTCAAGTGTTGGTCAATTTCCTGTCTCATTTGCCCCCAAATTCACCTTATCTCCAAGATGCTCAGATTCCTCGTCGCCTGGGTCCCCTCACTCTTCTGCCCTCAGGGTGAACAGCAGGTGTTCATGCAAAGCCCAGCAATGGGAACTCTTTCTCTCCTGCATTTTGCGTTTCGCTGACCAGACTCCCCGCTAAGGATGCTGCAGCCTCTGTGTTTTCCTACTAAACTTCTCTGGCTCGGCTGCAGCCGCAAAACTCCAAAGCAATGAGAGCCCAAGCCACACACACACACGCACACGCACGCACGCACGCGCACACACAATCAGCTCCGAGTTTATGAGCAACAGGTAAATAAGAATCTTTTGAGAGTGACCCACCGGCAGATCCCACGGGGTACAGACAAAGGAAGTTGTGGATGCACAGAGCCTGAAGCTCGGTGAGACCTCGAAAGGGGCCCGCAGCCTTACCTGTCCATGTGTTCGAGGCCAGTAAAGGCCAAGGACACGAGGGATGGGTGGAACCCGGAAGAAACGCAGCTGGCTTTAACGCAGCGGTTCTCAACCTTCCTAAGGCTGCGACCCTTTCATACAGTTCCTCGTGTTGTGGTGACCCCCAATTTCATTGTTACAAATTGAACATCATGAAAGCATAGTGATGAATCACAAAAACAATATGTCATTATAGATGTGTTTTCCGATGGTCTTAGGCGACCCCTGTGAAAGGGTCGTTCGACCCCCAAAGGGGTCGCGACCCGCAGGTTGAGAACCGCTGCTTTAACGTGACCCGGTAGTTGGTTGGCGAGACTTGGCGGCCAGGAGATGGGCAGTTACGACTCGGTTATATCTAAGTGACAATTCCCTCCAGAGCTCAGCCGTGGGGACTCGCTTTCCATTCTTGTTCCGCTCACCTATGTATCTGTATATCCTGTGAACCCCTACGTTCTTGCAGGTTTGTTTTACTCAAGGAACTGAGTGTCCTGCTACAGATGATCTACTTGAAGGAAGATGAGAGTGGAAGAAAGCACCATAAACATGGACCCTTGACAACAGGTCCCTGACTCCGTGGGTGGATAGAGCAGGAATGAGGGCTCGGCCCAGTGAATGGAGTCTGGCGTGTCACTGATCATTGGCCATAGCGCTGCCTCTTTCACTCTCGTACCATCCCAGCTATTAAAACTCGTATATTCTGGTCCCACCCATCCGGGGCCTTTATCTACATCCCCACATCTCAAAAATGATCAACTATTTCAAGTTACAGAGTTCAATCTCCTCTTTTTTTTATGTATATTTGAATTGCTTTCTCTTAATTCTTAAAAGATATATTTTTTTTTCAGAACTTAACGGAAAAACTTGCCCCAGCGTGTGTCCAAATCCACCAAAGCGTAAAAGACTTGAACACAAAATACTTCCAGAAAACCGGGAGGCGTTATTACGTGACCCCCCGAAGCTACCTGCGATTCATGGACACATTTGCACACATTTTGAGGTCACGCGAGAAAGAATTGCGAACGAAGAGGTGAGACTTGGAGACCAAATCAGAAAACATGTTTGTTTTTTTCTCTTTATGTTTCAATAGACGTTGCATCGGCGCTTCTATTTGTCAACACAAACGTCAGGCCCGCCCGTGCGGCTCCAACTGCGGTTTTTGATCGGAACCGCGTTATACCTCCATATCGGTTTGGGGAGAGCTGACGTCTTCACCGCGGTGCCTTCCGGCCCTGACCACGGTGTACCTTGCTTTGCTGATGTTTTGTCACAAACGACCCCTCCCCGTCCTTTCCCTCCTTCAGGGATCGCTTGTACATGGGCCTGTCCAAGATCCTGGAGGCCAGGGCTCTGGTGACAGACTTGCAGGAGGAGCTCCTCGTTATCACCCCGCAGATAGAACAGAAGACAAAGGTCAGTTCCACTTGAAATCTCGTTGTCAGGCTCTGAGAGTTGAGCACAGAGCAGCGTCGCAAAGCTCACTTTCTGGTTTGGACACCACGCAGCTGTGAGATCTCTCTGAGTCCCAATTTCCTTCTCTGTCAAGTGAGGGGAACAGTAACAACAGTGATAGCAAAATATTAACGTCATTATCCTAGTTAATAAAAGCCTAATATGCTAAGTGTCCGACTGTTCGTTCGACCAGTTGCTATGACACGCACTGACCACCAGGGGGCAGACTCTCCAACCGGTAGAGTTGCTGGGGGCCGGCTGATCGGGACTGGGTGAGACAGGCCAGACACGCCCTGGAGCCCTCCCGCGGTCCCTCCCCGGCCACCATTGTGCACTGGTGGGGTCCCTCTGCCTGGCCTGTGCCCTCTCGCAATCTGGGATCCCTCGGGGATGTCGGAGAGCCGGTTTTGGCCTGATCCCCGCAGGCCAGGCTGAGGACCCCATTGGTGCACGAATCCATGCACCGGGCCTCTAGTATTTTCATATTGAAACGTGATGATCAGTATCTAACTAATGGTAAAAACCTCAGCTAGAAAAATTCCCTAGTTATTCGTCATCTGAAATGTTCTGTGGTCACGGGCAAGCTGCCCAGTATTCTGAAGTCATTACGTGTCATTGTTCCTTACGTGCATTGTATGAAATGATGTTTAGCGTAGTCATCTTTGTTAGTCTATTAAACAGAGATATTCCAAGCTGATGTTGATTAATTTTTACAGTAACGAAATGGGCTATTTGAATTTCTCTTTTTTTAAAAAAAAAATCTCTCTCTTAAAATTCATGCTAAGAAGATTTATTTGGTTCATTAGGAAAAAGAAAACTTAATGGAAAAACTACAGAAGGATTCCCAGGTAGTTGAGAAAGTCCAGATGCTCGTTAAACAGGATGAAGAAATCATGGCAGAAGAAGTCAGGATTGTGGAAGAGCACGCTCAGGTAAAATTAAAACAATAACCAACAGAGGTCACTTGGAGATTTCCAAAATTATTCCCTAACGTCCCACATCTAAAAGGTCGGCTAACTGCTCTTCAATATACACTGAGTGGCCAGGTTATGATGACCACCCTATCAGTACTTCATTGACACTTCCAAAAATACTGAATATTGAAAACTTCCTAAGCAAATACTCTCAAGGTTTTATTATTATTATTATTTGCATAACTAATTCACTTCATTGTACTGATGGGGTGGTCATCATAATCTGGCCACTCAGTGTATATAGTGCCCCAACTCTGGGTACTTTTAATATTTATCCCAACAAATGTTTACTGAGTAGCTACTCCATGTGGGACGCGATGAATGAAATAGGGAGCAGAGGCCCTAACTGGTTTGGCTCCCACCACCGGCTGGTCTCCCAAAGCCCACAGAGCAGCAGGGCCGGGCCATCTTGCGGCTCTGCACAGCTACAGTCCTTCCCGCAACCACAGGCGCTTTGGCTGGTCTGTGCGCCCTGCTAGAGCCTCGTCGTTTTTGCCTGATGGCATGGCTGAAGAAGGGCTCGTGGAGGGGTAGGGGAAGGATCCGCCTGCATTTTTCTCATTCTTCTCTCGTGCTCCACTAGTACCAGCATTACCTGTAACCCGGGGTTCCTCCGACACCTTTTAAAGCTACTGGCCACGCGGTAAGGGCTCACCTCCTTCGAGCTGGGTGACATCCCGGGCACAGCGCCTTCCTTGGGTCCGAGAGAACTGCAGGCCCCCCGAGGTGCTGAGCCCTTAGGAAAAGGGGAAGCCACCAGTGCCACCCCTTCAACCTGTGGGACTCCCCCTCTTCCCTCAAGATGCCAAGTGAGACGCCCTGACTGGTTTGGCTCAGTGGATAGGGCGTCGGCCTGCGGACTCAAGGGTCCCAGGTTCGATTCTGGCCAAGGGCATGTACCTTGGTTGCGGGCACATCCCCAGTAGGGGGTGTGCAGGAGGCAGGTGATCGATGTTTCTCTCTCATTGATGTTTCTGACTCTCTATCCCTCTCCCTTCCTCTCTGTAAAAAAATCAATAAAATGTATATATTTTTTTAAAATGCCACGTGAGGGTCTCAGGGAGGTACCGGAACCTCTGCTAGGCCCACCCCGTGAAGGGGCTATGTGGACCCATACATCACTGTGCACAGCTTAACTTCAGTCTTTCATTTACTTCGGCCAAAGGAAGAGGGATGTAGAGGAATCAAGGGGTTGTGTTCATGGGTTTTCCCCCATACCACAGGGCTAATCTGGCTTTGGTGGCAAATCCAGGTTTTATAGGACCTGAAGCTTATACAATTTTGAGGCCACATTTTTTTGATTTTTTAAAATATGTTTTTATTGATCTTTTAGAGAGAAAGGAAGGGGGAGGGAGAGAGAAAGAGAAAAATCGATGAGAGAGAGAAATGTCGATCTGCTGCCTCCTGCACACCCCCCCACCGGGGGTTGAGCCAGCAACCCCGGCATGTGGCCTGGCCGGGAATCGAACCCGCAACCTCTTGGTGCATGGGAGGACGCTCAACCAACTGAGCCACACCAGCCGGGCTGAGGCCATATTTTTTAAAATAATACAAAATTACTAGTTCACAGTTAGACATGGAAGTGAATATTTAGAATAACTAAAGAAACCGAATAATCTACAAAATTTTAAAAGCTGACCATTTTTATAAACATCACACAATCTAGAAAAATAACAATATTGTTCAGTAATTCACTGCCTTAAACATCCCCACAATACCTTTTTCCTGCATTTTTTCCACTGCATACTCTGTGACTGCTTTTTCATATGGAAATGATTTTGTAATTTCATTTCCGATAGAAACTTTGGTATAGTCGATCAAAACGCGTTTTTCACACGGATAGTTTTCTTAGAAAAGTTTATTTCAGCTTCATCGCTTATTGTTGATAATGTCATGAACATTTTTATCAGTATTGCTGTCAAATTTGCTATAAGCAGCAGTGGCATTTCAAGATTTCTTGTCTCGCAATTAATTTTAAATACTCTTTGCATTCGTTAACCCGTTTTCCACCAACATCTTCATTATAGGTGTGCTTTCTGATTTTCATATTTTAATTAATGTCAATATTTCTTGCAAACTCAGCCGGGACCTTGAATTTTTCCAATGTGATCATAGGATGCATTCTTCATTTTGACACACAATCACTTTTGTTTAACACCCCTCAAATTTTTGTCTTATTTGTAAATAACAGTTAAAATGATAAAATCAGATACCTTTCACATACCTATATAAGGAATGTAATTTCTCACTTATATTATTGAGGCATTGAAAACATCTTGATTATTACCTAAAACCCCAGGGATTTTAAAGAACTCTTTTTGCACAACTCCCATCCAAAAAGGGGGAAATTCAACCTGGCCAGTGTGGCCCAGTGGTTGGGCATCGACCTATGAACCAGGAGGTCACGGTTCAATTCCTGGTCAGGGGCACATGCCAGGGTTGCGGGCTCGATCCCCAGTGTGAGGTGTGCAGGGGGCAGCCGATCCATGATTCTCATCACTGATGTTTCTGTCTCTCTCTCCCTCTCCCTTCCTCTCTGAAATCAATGAGAACATTTTTTTAAAAAGGGGAAATGTATGTGCTGTGTTATCAGACGTCCTCGGGAAGGAGTGAGCTTCCCTTGTGTGTGGCTACCAGTGGAAATCTGACCATGTGCTTACAGTTGTCTACGTCTAACAGACGGAAGGATCCTCCACAGCCCCGATTCTGCGTCCAGGCATCGTAACCCCTGCTTCCCCTCCACAGCCTGGAGCTGAGCGCGGTAGCACACGTTCCCCTTATAGTACGCCCTCTGGCCCCGCGCCTGAATGTCGCACGCCGGGAAAGTTGGAAGTTTCTGGAATTATGCCTAGGCGGCGTCCTATTTGAGATAGGTTTACACTTGTTTGTAGGGAAAATAGCTAGTAAATAATAATACAACTGCATACCCATTCGTATGTATCTGGGGGCTTCTGCCTTCTTGCAGACAACTGCCAATGAACTGAAAAGCGTCATGCCGGCTCTGGAAAGGGCCACCCTGGCTCTCCACGCCCTGGATAAAGCCGACATCTCCGAGTTGAGGTGAGTCATGTACCTCTTCCTTTTGAGTTGAAAAAGCTCCGACTACAGCAGTGACGGCGAACCTTGTGAGCTCGGCGTGTCAGCATTTCGAAAAACCCCAACTGAACTCTGGTGCCATGTCACATATAGAAATGTTTTGATCTTTGCAACCATAGTAAAACAGAGACTTACATTTTTGATATTTATTTTATATATTTAAATGCCATTGAACAAAGAAAAATCAACCAAAAAAATGAGTTCGCGTGACACCTCTGACACGCGTGTCATGGGTTCGCCATCACTGGACTAAAGCAATAAATACCTGGCAAAAGTCACAAAGTCCACATTCCATGTTTAGATGGCCCTTTTCACCTATCTTGGAGTGTTTTTTTTTTCAATTTTATATTACATGTGATATCTGCCGTACCTAATCCATGTTACGATGCCATCGACCGTAAGGCATATCAGTATTGTATGCTGCCGTGGTGCGCCCGTGGTTATAAACCCAACGGCGGTCTCGGAGATGTAGGAACGTGCGTCCTGGAGTTGGTGAGGTGCTGTCTTGCCGGGACCAGGCAGAGAAGCCCCAGGGCCTGTGCATGTGCCTGACCTGCGGTTCCACAAACCAGAGGGCCCTGTGCTGCTCCTTCCGCCAGGTTAGCGGTGGGATCTGTGGGGGTGCAGCCCTGCACGTCGGTGCTGCACTGCCGGCCATTGTCACCAGGTGGCGCAATGAGGAGCACTTCTCCTTGTGCCCTTCCCAGGTGCGAAAGGCAGCAAAAGAGACATTCCTAAGAAAATACAAGCAGCACCCTGGCTGGTCTGGCTCAGTGGATAGAGCGTCAGCCTGCGGACTGGAGGGTCCCAGGTTCGATTCCAGTCAAGGGCACTGCCCGGGTTGTGGGCTCGATGGCCAGTGGAGGGCATGCAGGTCATAGGTTGCCTCTCAACCACTGAGCCACCGCCAGCCAGGCAAGACACCCAAATTTTTAAAGACATGCAAATAATGTAAAAAAAAAAAAAAGCTATGTATCGGCCATTAGTTCTCCTTATCGAAAGCGCTTGTTAAAAAAATCTGAATGTGTTGTCTTCTGAGATTGTTGACAGGGCGTGTGTGTGAACTTCCTCGTGAAGCTGTCGAGCTCTCGCCGTCTGTTGCAGAGTCTACACGCGCCCCCCTAACCTGGTCCTGACCGTCATGAATGCGGTGTGCATCCTCCTGCAGAAGAAACCCAACTGGACTACGGCCAAGCTGCTGCTCTCGGAGACTGGCTTCCTGAAAAAACTGGTTCAGATCGACAAGGACCGATTACCCGAGAAGGTAAAAAGCTGCTCGCCGGTGACTGCATCAGGGGCACGTTTGCATTGACAAACCAAGAGAGTCAAACGGAAGCGTTAAAATTAGAATTCTGGCCCAGCTGGTGTAGCACAGAGGTTGAGCGTTGAGCTATGAACCAGGAGGTCACATGCATGGGTTGCGGGCTCCATCCCCAGGAAGGGGGAGGTGGGGGGGAGGGCGGGGGTGAAGGAGGCAGCTCATCAATGATGCTCTGTTGCCCAAATCATAGCAGTCACCCAGGTCGTTTGGGGGTTCCTTTCAGAGGTCATTGTTCCACAGGTAGCTGTGGATTTGGTGTCTCCGTGGGAGGAGGTGAGGTGGGGATCTGCCTGCGCCGCCATCCTGAACCTGGTCCCAGAGAGCTGTTATTGGTGCGTCAAAGGATTACGGACAACACGCGGCCAGCACTGTTCTGAGCGCTTGCCAATGCGGACGTGTGTGGGAGGAGATGGGGGCAGATTGGAGCACAGAAAAAAAAAATCGGAGAAAGTAAGGTCATCTGGACACCTCATGAAGAGTTTTTCTGGAGCAGATCTAATTCAGAGACTTGCCCAGCTGGTGTGGCTCAGTGGTTGAGAAGCAGCCTAAGAGGCAGGAGGTCGCGGTTCGATTCCCGGTCAGGGCACAGGCCTGGGTTGTGAGCTCAATCCCCAGTGTTGGGGGGTGCGGGAGGCAGCCGATCAGTGATCCTCTCTCATCATTGATGTTTCTATCTCTTTCTTCCTCTCCCTTCCTCTCTAATAAATCAATAGAAATATATTTAACAAAAGAGAAGACTGTGGCTTTAATGTAGGATGTCAAGAAGGATGATAGCAGGGCCAGAGCCCTGAGCGAGCAGTGGGGTGAGGGCAGCATAGAGTGGGGCCCTGCTGGACAGGTGAGACTCGCAGGAAGAGGAAAGGGGGTGGCAGGGTAGGCAGCGAGTTACAAGGCCCTGGGCCCTGGCACTGTATGTAGATGGACGCACAGGAGAGCCAGATGCCACTGGTGTGGCCACCAGAAGCCGAAAGAGGCAAGAAGCAGATTCCTCTCTAAAGCCCCAGAAGGACGTCCGGAAGGTTGTCTGGAAGGACGTCCGGTCTAATTAGCATATTACGCTTTTATTGTGATAGATAGGAGCCCCAATAATAAACCGAGGGCAGGCCGCCTGCATCCCTCAGCTGAGTGGTTCTGTCCGGCTTGCGGGGGGTGGGCGGGAGGAGGAATCTGAGATTTCCTCCTGACCACAGCCCCCAGAAGTAGATGAGAAATACTGCGGGGCTGTCTCCACCCTGGGCTGTGCCGTTTCCACGCAGGGGGTCTATAGCAGTGGTCGGCAAACTGCGGCTCGCGAGCCACATGCGGCTCGTTGCCCCCTTGAGTGTGGCTCTTCCACAAAATACC